ATATTTGTAAAGACAGTAGAGCTGTTAGAGAAACTCCTTTGCAGTAGATGGTACTTTTTTAAACATCAATTTCTTTGCTAGGACTGATCTCTGCAGAGGTGTTAGGGGAAGCTCTGTAAATGTACTGCAGAAATAGCTTGTGGTGGTCACTGACTCTCTAGTGCTTCTGACATCATCAAGACATCTTTGCCCCACACCCCCACTCATCTGCTCCTCTTTTCCCAGAGCAGTTTTGTCAGTTTGGGGTTTGGGTTGGTTGATTGGTTTTAATCAGATTGCTTATTTGCAGTTGTTTGTTGCAGAAGAATGAATGTATAATATGTACAGGTAGTTAATACATTTTAAAATTGTTCTGGTTCTGGTTTTGGATTTTTTTTTTTAAAGCGAGGAGTGGAAATGTCCAGTCCCTGAGACCCTACCTTGTTTTTAAAGCTCCACAAGGGAACCCAAGCCCTGCCAGACCCTTGCTTTATCAGTAGTGTTTTCCCCCAGAATATACCCCAAAGCACAAAAAATGTTATGGTTTGGATCCCCTTACAATTCCCCAAAGCTTTAGAAACCAGCTAATTTTTTTAAAAAGGTGGCAACACACCCAGTACTGCCAGCACAAAGGAGACCGTTCACCATTTGTGGGTAATAAATAGCCATAACTTTATTATATCTGTAGGGGGTCATACATCATAGTTTGACAGTCACAATTAATCACATTTCATGATATCCCTTTGACAAATGTGTATATGTCCATCTCATACATCATGCCATAAATCATGTCAAAATTAGGTTATAAATCAATCATCTGCTGTGATACATTGAGGACTCTGTCATCATAAATCATAATACCTTGATTGATGGGCTATTCTAAAACTCCAGGAGGGTTTTCACCCCACCACAGGAGGGGACTGGCCTAGCTTGGCATCACCTCCTCCCCTCCCGGGAGAGCAGTGTAAGGTGTTGTATGATAGAGTCCAGATATATGTTGCAGCCCACGGGTGAAAGATGGACTCCATCATCCCTGTATAGATGTGCTAGTTTAAACCTAATTCTGTCATGTATAACCAATGAAACCCCAACCCCCTCTAGCCTCTTAAGGACATCCCTGTTCACCCAGCAATGAGGCGCTCTCATCTTGGCATGAGCTTCGTCCACAACAATACTGTGTCCAGTAGTAAGCAGCAGGCTATGCAGATCTGTGATGATTCTTCCAGATGGGCTGCTCCCCCAGGTCCCACACACCTTCTCACTGAGGCCCACTGCTCCCCCCATCCTGCCCCCGGATCAGACCCATCTGCCACTACTCCCCCCTTGATCCCACCCCCATCCACCTTACCTTGCAGGCCTGTAGGACCAGTGGCAGTAGGACCAGCGGCAGCCACCCTGAAAAAAGAGCTGGTGCCACAGGTCTTCCTCTCTCAGCTGCCTGGCTTGGAATGGTTGAACATGGTCAGGGTCTTATATAGGCCCCCAAATGTTGGCCATAATTGCACAAGATCCAGCAATCTCACAAAATTATGGGGTTGCTGAGGGATCTTGCGAGATCCCCTGATTGGCTGGGAACCACAGGAAGTGGCAGGACTTCCTGCGGTTCCTCCAGTCATGGCGCCAGCCTCCCAAGATGGCCAGCGCAACAAGAGGTCCCTCCTGATGAGTCAGGGGGGTCTTTGAGCTGAGAGGAACTAAAAAATGGCTTCTCTGACCCCTCTCAATTGTCCAAACCTAAAATACTAAGGGAAGAGCCAAACTGAAACTGACCCTCATGCTTCTCTTGAACTTGTTATGGCATACTCTTGGCATTTTCAGAAAAAGTGAATGCATCTGATATCTTGCAGGTGAATCACCTGTTTGGGTTCCCTTTCACATACTGTGCCTTCAGCCTTAGTGACTGGCCATCAGGGGAAACAGGGCAAGGAAGGACATTATCTGTCCAGGTAGCCAGAATGGTTCCTTTAGGAGCTCCCTGTCCTTAAAAGAATATTTTCTCACCTTGACCTTGCTCTCAGTCTGAATGCTTCTGTCTCTGTGCTGGAAATTTCTCATTGGATGAATAGCATCTTCTGATCTGGGTAGACAGTGGTGGGGATGGAAAGAAAACTTGTTTTGGGAAGTGCTGTATTTTATCAGAATCACCGCAAAAACTATCTGCAAATTCCATGGTCCCTTTTTTTCCTGATCTTAACCCAGGCACCATTGTCACCATGGATATATGGAGTTGCAGGACAGAGCTATATAGGCCATATTGATTGATTGACTGATGATTGAATTTATACTTTGCCTTTCTCCAAGGATGGGATCCAATATGACTTACAATAATCACAACAAAATTTAGTTAAAAATCTTATTTTGCAAACGTTAACAAAGAATTGACAATATTAGTTTTTAAAGAAACCAACCCTGGTTTGCCACAGTTAAAAACACATTTAAAACAGAATTACATTTATTTATTTATTTTTAAAAATGGCCTTCCAATGGCCTAAGCCAGTCCATTGCTCTTGGGATGCTGCTAAGCCGTTACTGTTATCAAAATAAGACTCAGCTATAAATCTGACAAACTTTGGTAGATAGAGTGAGTCATTATGTCCTTTTAATTAGGCAGCAAGATATCTTGGGTTGACCCTGCCTCCTTCCACCAAAACACTTATACCACTTCCTTTAACAGGTTTACGCAGGGCCTTTACAGACTGCCAGAAATAATCCAGCTTGAGACCACTTTAACTGTCCTGGCTCAATGCTAGGGAATCTGGGAACTGCATTTTTTTCTGACGCATTGAGCTTTCTCTGTCAGAGAGCTCTGGTGCCGCAATAAACTACAGTTCCCATGATTCCTTAGCACTGAGACATGACAAAGTGCTCTCAAGATGTATTATTTCTGGCAGACTGTAAAGGCCCTTAGTATTATGATAACCAAGTCTTAAGATGTACTGTTTGACTTGTTCAAGGTTTGCAAAGATAGCTCTCAAACTCCTCTTAAAAGTTACTTTGGCTACTTTTATGCTGCAGAATTAATGCAGCTTGACACCACTTTAATTTGTTCTCATGTTCTGAAATGTTGTACGCCGCCCCGATTGCCTGGCAGAGGGACGGGATATAAATAAAAATTATTATTATTATTATTATTATTATTATTATTATTATTATTATTATTATTATCATTATAACCACCATGGCTCAAAGCTATGGAATTCTGTCATTTGTAGCTGTGAGAGATATTTAGCTTTCTCTGTCAAAGAGTTCTGGCCAGCTATGGTTCTGGTTCCACAACAAGTTAGATATGTCAGGTATCCATAGTATGTAGTCGAACTGCTTTAATTCTGCACTGTGGTGGCAGCAGCCTTTAAAACCTTATATGGCTCATTTTTCATCGAAAGTGAAACGGCACAGTGTGGATTCTTGTTCAGAGAAAAGCTTGAAACCTTCTGTTTTGTGTTAAGCATCCTTTTTTTAAAAAAACACTGTTTCCAGGTCCAAACTTTTTTTATACAGTCTGTTTACATCGTGTACACAGGGTTTTGGAGCTTGGCTAGGGCAGAATTTGGAACTCGGGACTTTGAGGATCCTTTCAAAATGGCTTCTGGCCCACCAGAGTTAAGGAGAGGGAGCTTGGCAGAATCCTAGTTCCCATAGCAACAGCCTGTTATGTTTCCTGAGTGACTGTGGTGCTCCAAATTCGGCACCCTTTGCAGAGAATGCGGAACACAGGCAAACATCTGACATCACCTTATAGTCCCATGAGCTTTTCGCAGCCCAAACCAAAAAGCATCTGGGGCTAGGGATGCGACTTGATACCATCCTGCTTGGAAAATGAGATTGGTGATCATTTATTTTAATGATGGCTAAATGCTGGTTGCCATGTTTCCTTGGCCTGCTGCTGCTGCTGTTTCAACGCCACTTTTTTAAAAAATGGTTTGTAATTTTTCTAGACAATGGTGGATCATATTGTGAAGAGGATGACGCACAATGATTCATAGTCAATCAAAGTTGGCCATGTGTTTGTGTCACTGAAAGCAGCCACCATCAAGCGTTGTCTTTATTCCCAGTGTGTAAACACAACTCAGTCCAGTCCAAAGTGTGCATCTATAATAAAAGAAAAAGTCTTATTATAATTATAATAGGCTTCTATTTTAGACTCTATCTGTGGCAGCCACAATGCAACAGGAAATCATGGTAGATGCGTCAACCTCTACCATGGTTGTTGTCCAAGTTGTATTGCCCAGTTTCAAATTTTAAAAAATCCAAATTGCAGACTTCCAAGAAGCAACCCAAAAAAAAGAAAAAGGAAAGCTTGTCATAACTTTTGGGACATTTTAGATACTTCCAAATTTGACAAGGTGTTTTTGTTTGTCACACAAGTTGCAGTGGCCTATTTCAAGTCAAAATGCCAAACAGGGATTTGTACATGCCAAAAAGGAAGCCTCCCGTAATAGTATTGGGAAATATTTTTAAAGGGCTACAAAAGCATGAGGGGGGGTTGTTTGTTTGTTTCCTGTGGAGTTTTTTTGAGGCAATGGGGATAAAATTCCTGATGGTGAGAGAAAAGAAGAGGACAAAGCTACTGCTGCTTGGGTTCCTGAAGGTAGTAAGAGAAAAGGTGGTAAACATGACTGCTGGTACCAAAAAAAGGAGGGTTGGAAACAAGAGGCCTCACGGATCTATTTTAGGACATTAGATATAAATCATGGCAGTACTGGATAGAATTCACCTAAAAAAACGGCAGAGAGCTCTGTGATGAACTGCTGCTAAGATGCTTGAATTAAAGGGGAAAGGAAGGGAAACAAGACAGGACTAAACTAAGGTGCTGCTGCTAAATGTTTTGAGGCTTAAAAAGGTGCAGGAAAATGGGAGAGATTTCTCTGAGGCAGAAATGGGGCAGCTAGTGGGACAGGGTAGTATGTTAATTGTAAATATGCTTTCAAAAATTTTGTTCTATTATGTTTATATTGGAAGTAGGATTTTTTAAAAACACAATTATATTAGTTTTACTTTCATGTTTAAATTTACATTGCACTACCAATGTGGCGTAGTGGTTTGAGTGTCAGACTGGGAGTCTGGAGACCAGGGTTTAATTCTCAGCTTGGCCATGGCAAGTCGCACACTCTCAGCCAAAGGGGAAGGCAATGGCAAACCTCCTCTGAACAAATCTTGCCAAGAAAAACCCATGATACACATTCATAACTCTCCAAGATAATTCTGGCCATATTGGCCAGCTTGAGCTCACTGGAGAAAAGGCAGAGTATGTGTCTTAGGGTCTTAGGGTCTCCATAAGTTGGAAAGAACTTGAAGGCACACAACAAACAAACCATTCTAGAAGCCTTATCGGTATGACTCCCATCTATGATTTTACTCCTCTCTGCTCCCCACTCTTGTTTTAAGCTTTGGATCAAAGGAAACAGCTACGTGAATTTTTTAACAATCAATTTGTCACCCATCTGATCAAAATCCCTTCTCGTATTTTTCCTTATAATCCCATCTCCTTGCCCTCCACTTTCATTCACTTAGTGATTCCCACATGGATCCTGGGGAATATTTGTGAGTTAAGAATATCAAAATTCAGTTTACTGGGACAGATGAAGAACCTTCATATGATCTGTAGTGCAGAACCATGGGGATGCAAATCAGACTGCCCACCTACTTCCAAATTATCCTTACTTTTGTTGGCTTGAAATTGCTTAACTTTAATATTAACTGAACGATCATGCTCTAAACCAGGGGTAGGCAACCTTTTTGAGCTGGGGGCCAGGTTGCTGTCCCTCAGACAATTGGGGGGCTGAAGCACCATAAATAAATAAATAAATAAATAAATATATTTTTTAAAAAATAAAAAAAATATGCATGTACACTCTCTCAGCCCCAGAAAAGCCATGGCAAAACCCCTGTGGAGATTTTGCCAAGAAAACTCCAAGAACAAGTAATAACAACAATAATCAATATTATCATGGCGGGCTGCCTACCCCTGCTCCAAACAATGGACTAAAGGGGGTTGCAGACTGCCAGAAATAGTGCAAATTGAGTCCACTTTTAGGGTTAGGGTTAGTGCTAGGGAATCATGGGAATTGTATTTTTTTCTGAGACATTGAGCCTTCTCTGTCAGAGAGCTCTGGTGCCACAATAAAATACAGTTCCCATGATTCCTTAGCACTAACCCTAACCCTAAAAGTGGACTCAATTTGCACTATTTTTGGCAGTCTGCAACCCCCCTAAAATAAAGATCCCTGTACACATTTGCATTTATTGAAACAACTGATGAGGAAATTAATAATTAGGCATATATATATGTGATTTCTTAACTGAATTGATTGTATTTTAATCCCCACTTGGATGAAGTGGGATGTATTTGCAATGATTTGTTCATTGAAATTCTCAAATTAAGTTGCTTTGTGGGAGACAAATTCTTTTGGAGAAGGGATGTTTGTTTGTTGCATTCATACGCTGCCTTTTCTCTAGTGAACTCAAGCTGGCCAGTGTGGCCAGAATCATCTTGGAGGGTTATGAATGTGTAACTACTGCAGTTACATGACCACGCAATGACTCTTGACCAGACCCTAACCCTAGTCCCCACATTATGTGAAACAGACATTGTGATCTACCGGGGTCCGCTTCCCTGTCAATTGGAAGCTGCTGACTGATGTTCCCTCCCCATCCCATGAGGCAGGGGTAGCAACCTAAAGCCCGGGGGCCAGATGCAGCCCCCTGAGGCCTTTGGACCGGCCCTAGGCCAGTCCTGCTGCCGCCGCCGCCCCCCGCCACCCCCCGCCATGATGATATTGATTATTGTTGTTATTACTTGTTCTTGGGGTTTTCTCCACAGGGGTTTTGCCATGGCTTTTCTGGGGCTGAGAAAGTGTGCATGCATATTTTTTAATTGTTTTAATGTTTTTTTAAAAAATTTATTTATTTATTTATTTATTTATTTATTTATTTGTGGTGCTTCGGCCCCCCAATTGTCTGAGGGACAGCAACCCAGCCCCTGGCTCAAAAAGGTTGCCTACCCCTGCCATGAGGTATCTTCATTGGGACAGGCAGAAGCAGAGGCCATGTAGATCACCTGCATGAGGGTGAGGTGGAAATGTCAGTCAAATGCTAAGAATTGAGTGACTGACCCCCATTGATCATAGTGACTGCTGCCTGGTAAGTAGGGATTGAGGAGAACTTCGCAGTCCCTGTGTGTCTCCTAAACTTAGGAATATGTAAGGAACATGAATGACAAACAGTTACCTATGTAGAGAGATCTTGTAACATCTTTGAGACTAACTGAAAGAAAGAAGTTGGCAGCATGCGCTTTCAAAGAATTGAACCTCAGATGCATATGGATGATGCATGAGGAAATTGACTTAGGTCTATGAAAGCTCATGCTGCCAACCTCTTTCTTTCAGATAGTCTCAATGCTACAAGATCTCTGTACATACTGATTCTATAGACTAACACGGCTATATTTTGATTTTACTTATATGTAACTCCCCAACAGGATTCTGGCCTATGGGTCTCCCCACAACCCATCCTTGCAACAACTCTTTGAGGTAAAACAAGATGGAGAGACAGTGACTGGCCCAAGAACACACAGTCCTTGGTCCCAGAGGATGCTTGTTGATGTGTGTCCAGCTATAGAAACATAGCTGGATGCTGCTCCATTCCCACTCCCCCCAGTAAATGGTTATGTTTTGGTGGGGAGTTGCAGCAGCTTCAAAGCAACAAGGGGTAGATTTGTCTATGTATTCTGCCTGTGTGGAACTTTACAGTACTTCTCCCAATCCAGGATTTCAGCCCACATTTTTGTTTTACATTAAATTAGCAGATTTCAAAGTCAAATTTGTAACACATTTCAGTATTTCAGTCCATAACCATCTGTCTTAGTTTAATAAATTCAGGTTTGTAGTTATTTCTCTTTTTTCATGTCAGTTTTGTATGGTAACTAAAATTAAACAGATCTTAATATGTTCATAATAATACAAATGAACTGAGTGCCAAAATGGGAGTGAGGATAGAATATTGTCTTCTTCCTTCAGGCCCACTTTGTTTAATGTATTGCATTGCATTGCACTGCATTGCATTTATTTGTTAAGCGAAGCATGCCACAGTTTGAATCTGTTTTATTGGCACCTTTAATGAATCAAAAAAAGACCTTGGGGACCTAATACTAGATTTAGAGACAAGGTTTCTTGGATGGAGTAGTTGAGCCCTGGCATGAGATCAAGTTGAAGCAGCAGTGAGCCCTGGCTGACATTAACCTTCTATTTTCTTAATTTGCTCCTACCTTGGAAATGCAACCTGTGTATTTAAGAGTTCTGGCACAAGGATATGTTCCTGAGTCGTTGAACATCTTTCTACCTTGGAGGGATGCAGGTACAATGCCCAGATCAGAAGATGGCAGACTTCACACTTACAAATAATGCACACCTGTGATTGGATTGGTTTCCCTCATGCTGCTGCCCCATCCTCTTTGTCTATAATTTATACCTTACCTCCACACAAACAGCACAATGCACAAAAATCCATTTGCCCTCTTAACAGCACCTTTCACCTCTTCCCCCCTTGTTGCATTGAACAAGCTGGGGGGGATGCCTATTCATTTATAAAGAGGTAAATATTTTCTGTTGATTGTGGTTACATACTTTCAACTACTTTTGTTGAAAGCAAAGGCAGTGTTCCACCAGCTTCATGGGCTAGGTTTAGGCAGCATTTCCTACCCTGTTGTATTAGACTGCAACACCCACACCATTCTCCAACTATCATGGCCATTGGCTGGAGCTGATAGGGCTTTTGGTCATGTATGCTGACCACAGGATGAAGGGACCTGTCGTCCAATTGAACACTAGGTGCCAGATTGGGAAAAGCAGCATTTAGCTTTCCCTTTGTATTTCTAGCTAGTCTAATAGGGCTCCTGAATAGACTAGCCAAGTTCTTTAATGACACCAGCACTTGTGTCTTAAAGCTTTTTGCACCATCAACATTAGGTGATAAATTGCTTATTGCCATGAACTCACCTGCTGAATTTTCCTTAGGACAGGGAAGCAGGTCAGACCTAGTGCCTATTTACACTACAGAATTGTAGTGCTGTTATTCCACTTTCACTGCTGCAGCTCCACTCTATGGAATCCTGGGATTTGGGGCTGAGGGGGGGACCTTTAGAATCCTAAACCAGGAAGCTCCTCTGTTGCCTCTCACCAGACTACAAACCCCAGGATTCCAGAGGATGGAATCATGGCAGTTAAAGTGGATTCATTGTACTATTATTGCAAGTGTGAATGGCACCCCCGTCTATCCTTCCTCAATCAGCTGGCAAACTTCCTCCTAGAGTGGAATGCAAAAATAAAACATAAAAATAAAAGCACAGTAAAATAAATAAATACTCAAAATAAAATCATTTAAGCTCATTTTCATAAGCAGCTGTCAAATCCATAGAGAGAAGAAGTTTGGATGTCAAGGAACTCCCTGCTGGCACCCAGCACAATAGTCATATTTGTTCAGGTACTGGTCAAAATGCATCCTGAAAGTCCCTCAGAGTTATTGTAGAGAAAATAGATGGGCTATTCTCTCTCCAGAGCTTCCCAGCAGTTATTCTCCCATTTGAGCCTATCCATGTTTTGAGAACTTCTGGGGAAGGCCCTCCAACCTCACAGGTATATCTGATGGAAACACAAGAGAAGGCCTTCTCAGTGTCTCCTCCAAGGCTCTGAAAATTTCTTCCAAGAGAAGTTAGCTTGGCACCTACCTCCATAGGCAAGTTAAGACTTTAAAAAAAAAATCTCAGACTTTGAAGCCTGACTGCTCACGAACACTCTGCTCAGAATTGTGTCGATACTGTCTGTGTGTGTTTTGTTTATTTGTTTTTTTATATAGTTATATTTTAACTGATTTCAATTTATGGCTGGTTTATTGATATTTGTAATGATATCTAATTAATTGTAAGACATTTAATTAATTTATATTGTATTATATTATAGCTGTATTTCTTTTAACTATTATAAGCTGTCTTGCATCCCAGACTGGGGAAAAGGCAGAATATGAAATGAGGATGAGGATGGGGATGATATCATCAGAGGACCTGCTATGGGACATTATTCTACTTATGGATCATAGAAAT